TTTCTTAAACAGCTCGGTTAGAAAGTGACAGAGGTCGAAATTATCGTAAGTATGAAAATATTCGCACTTCCTTATAGACAAGAATGTAAAACAAAACGATATTTGAAGAATTTCCGATATCTTGGGTACCAGGTTTCCCAGGATCTTGATTCAAGAGGTTTCACTAATGAATGGTAGTATAGCCACAACGAAGGGTAGCAACAATCATAGATTACCACCTTTCTCGTCTAATAGATTTCAACAGCATTGACCATGTATTCGTTTTTGGCTAAAAATTCTGGTGTTGATACTCTAATCAAAAACTGTGAATCAACATTGTTTGTAATCACGATCCAACTGGAGTGTGAATCGAGACTTGTTTTGCAAGCTCAGAATTTTCAGATTTCTACTGTGAAAGGAGACTTGTTTTGAAAGTTGAGAATTTTGAGAATTGCAGTGCAAATCGAGAATTGTGCTGAAAGTTGAGATAGTGCGAATGGAGACTGGTTTTGGAAGCCGAGAACTTTAAGAATCCTACTGGAAATCGAGAATTGGTTAGCAACTTGAGAATTTTGAAAATTTTGAGAATTCAAGTTCACCATTTTGTAAATTCAATTGCAAGCCGATACTTGATTTGCAAGTTCAGCATTTTGAGAATTCCAGCGCAAATGGAGACTTGTTTAGCAAGGAGAGAATTTCAAGAATTCTACTGCGAATGGAGACTTGTTTTGTAAGTTGTGAACTTTGAAAAGTTTAGTGCGAATCCAGACTTCTTTCGCAAGTTGACGAGTTTGAGAATTTTGGAAACTGTACTGCAAATCGTGATTTGTTTTGCAAGTTGAAAGTTGGAGACTTTTTTGCAAGTTGAGAATTTTGGAAACTGAAGTGCGAACTGTTGTGCAACTTGAGATTTTTGAGAATTCCAGTGCAAATGGAGACGTGTTTTGCAAGTTCAGAACATTGAGAATTTGAACAATTCTAGTGCGAATTGAGACTTGTTTTAGAAGTTCAGAATATTGAGAATTTTAATACGTATAGTCCGACTCGAGACTTGTTTTGCAAGTTTAGAATTGTGAGAATTCTTGTGCAAATCGAGACCTTGCGTGCAAGTTGAGAATATCAAGAATTCTAGTGCGCATGGAGACCTGTTGAGAATTTTTGAGAGTTTTGAGAATTCCAGTGCAAATGGAGACTTGTTTTGCAAGCTTTTTGCAGCATTTTGAGAATTTTGTGAATTGTAGGTCAAATCTAGAATTGCGTTGAAAGTTTGAGAGTGTTAAGAATTATAGTGCAAATGGAGGCTTGTTTTGCAGGTTGAGAATATCAAGAATTTTAACAATTCCAGTGGAAATCGAGACTTGTTTTGCAAGTTCACACTTTTGAGAATTCTATCTCAAATCGAGACCTGTTTTGCCAGTTGAGAATTTTTGAGAATTTGGAGAATATCGGTGCAAATCGACGACAGGTCTCGATTTGCACTAGAATTCTCAAAGTGGTGAACTTGCAAACCAATCCTAGATTTGCACTAGAATTGTCTAAATTCCCAACTTGCAAAATAAGTCTTTATTGGCACTGGAGTTCTCAAAATTCTCAACTTGCAACACCATTCTCTATATGTACTGAAATTCTGAAAATTCTCCAAAATTCTCAACTTGCAAAACAAGTCTCGATTTCCGCCAGAATTCTTAAAATTCTCAACTGGGGAAAGAAGTCTTCATTCGCAGTAGAATTCATGATATTCTCAACTTGTAAAACAATTCTGCATTCGCACTAGAATTCCTGAAATTCTCAGCTTTCAAAACAAGTCTCTATTTGGACTAAAATTCGTGGAAAACAAAATGAATAAAAGATACGTTATTCTGAATAAAAGTTTTCGCTCATCAGCAGTCACAAACGGGACCAAGCCGAAAAAAAGTAAAGTAAAGGGTAAAGTAAACTTTTGATTTGGTCAGTTACACCAATCAGGTTCAAAAATAGATATTGTTGCTCTAGTTGGCTGAATGAAAAATTTACTTTACTGTGATTGTCTTCTTTTAGCCGAAAATAACAGGTTGTAAGAATTTAGCATTCAATAGTAGCATGCAAAAATGGCCTGGAAAAATTTAAATTTTATTTTTTGCAGATACAATTTTTTGTTCTGGTTTATGTGACGCTAAACGGACCATTACCCGGGGCCTGGGGCCTGTTTCTTAAAAAAACTTAAGTAGAAAATCTTACTTAAGTCAAACTTAAGTGCAAAAAAGTCTTTGTCTTTTTTGACTTAAGTAAGATTTTCTACTTAAGTTTTTTTAAGAAACAGGCCCCCGACCACAAACTCCTGCACACATTGTATGAAGTTTTATTCAAGCAAACGGCAGAAACAGAGGAATCAATATCATCAAGTAAGGAACTTCTAAATTGGATTGATCACTTACAGTATTAAAAAATTGTTACACCACTTCAGAAACGTATCCAACCACCCAGACTGAATGGTTTTAGGAAACAAGGGGGTTAGGTGTGACAAAAATGTTGTACGAATGGAGTAAAATTGTCGACCGATTACCTGTGACAACTGAAGCAAAAATCCAGGTCGAAGCTCTACGGCCGTAAACTATAGTATACGTCGAAATATGACGAAATACATATCCATTCCAGATAAAATACGACGTCGTAATCCTTCTCCACGGTAGACGTCATCGTATTTCGTCGTAAACAGCTCGTATTTTGACGTATACTATAGTATCCATCATCATAAACTGTAGTATACTGCCATTTACCGCTGTAGTAATCATTGTCCTGGGAAAACGGGTGTACGGAATGATTTTCAAAATGACAACGCCAAACGTGGTTTCCGAGTCGATTGCGGATGAATTAGCTCAATTACTCGAAGAATTAGAGACTGATGAAATCAAAAATGTCACAGGTACTATTGCCTGTCAAGACATTCAAACGTCACTCGATCGTATTACCGACGAATTACGGGTTATTGTCGATGAACAGTATTTCGTGGAACTTCATGAAATATGTCGCAGTATCCGACAAATCTTCAACATACTGTGTGAAAAACTGACCAAGGCAGAAGCAAAAATTGAAGAGTTGACAAAACTTGAAGAGCAAGTGAAGACTATGCAAAAGCAACTTGACAAGGCGGAAATATCCGACGGTCATTTGTGCTCGGTTCGGTCGCAACGCAATTGCTAATCAAGATTGGCCGATTCTTGAACACAACCGAATCGCCAACGGTCGGCGCTTATCGATCGCTTAGCGAGGTGGACAACTTGAGCAATGTTGAATCGCTGAAATCGTTCCTCGACCAACATGGGTATAATTGGCTCGATATTCGATCTACAATGAGAATGTTGAAAACCAATCGCTTCTCCACAGCTTATCCAGGCGACACACAAATTACGAGAGGAGACATTCAGGCCGCGATCAATTATTGCTATCCGCAGGTTTCTTCTTCTTTGCGAATTAAAGCACAACAAGATTGGAAGTTCTACAATTGCTTGCAACGGAGCTGCAGCAACCTCTATTCGTTGGACTAAGAACTTAATTGTGAGGTTTGAATGACCTTCAAGCTTGGTCTTATACAAGGTCATGAAAAAAATGAAATGAGAAAAATGAACACAAGATGTACTTTCATTTTTGAATATATTTATTTCAGGAGCATAATTACGCGATAGCATTTCCTCTCTTCTACGCGAAGAGAAAGGAAAAGTTTGCTGTTTGAATCAGTTTTTACTTTTGGAGAATAAATGACAAAAGTTTTATAAGCTGCGTCTTTCTAATTCAATGAAATTGGAGACATGACCATTTTTACTCATGCATATGTATGATTCATGGGATAAGATTAGGGAAATAATCTTCAGAACATGGTAAGATGATGAGTTATTTAAAAGTCAATCATCTTCTTATGTTCACTAATATTTCTTTTCAGGGATTCAGTTTGCTTCTTTTATGTTTTATGATAAATATCTTTACTATGTAACAATTTTGTCCATGTTTTTAGATTAGATAATAGAGAATGATTTTAGGAGAAAATATATGCATGTCATGGAATACATGCAAAGGAGGAGGGCCATTAAATAGCATTTTCGTCCTAAAACATTTCGCTATAAATCATACATATTTGGAACCAGCATCAAATTCTGAACAAGATAGCGCTTTCAGAACTTTCAAATTTGAAAAAATATTTTTTGCCCAAAAAATCACGGCAAGAGTCCTCCTCAGGGATAAGCGAAAATATTTTTTGTCCAAAAATTTTGAAAAACACGTTGTCTGACTCAGAATTTGATGCTCATCACGAATATCGCAACTGCAGCTCGAAAAAATGCGGTCTGTCAAAATGGCAATAGAAATAAAATCTGACTCAAACAACTTTCGAGTTTTTGCACTTTAATTTTCGACAAAAGTGCTTTTTTGTTTGCCACATGACTTTTCCTATGTGTAACTCGATATGCTGAATCCGAATATGCTAAAATTGAAAAGTTTGGCAAAATGTTTATCTAAAAACCGCTGAAAACCTGAAGGATTTGGGGTTTTTAAGGTTTTGGACCTCGAAGGGACACCTAGAAAGCTTGGACCAAAAAGCTCTTTTTACCGGAGATAGATGAAGACATGCTTTTTCCAACGATGTGCCATTCAAGGCAAAATTTGATGTAGAAAGTGGGGTTTCGAGTCTTGAAACCCATTATATGGGGGTTTTGAGGTTTTTCGGAAATTTCTTACTTTCTAGCCACGTTTTTGGATTAAAAACCTTTCTTTTAGCAAATATATCACTAAATTCACTTCTCACAACAATATATCTAGTAGAAAACACACGTTTTCTTTCTTTTCTTAATTTTTTTGACATTTAATCTAAACCCTAGGGAGCGCCGAACGAACGAAGAAGCTGCTTTATCTCTCGTTTATTTAAACAAAATGATAAAAAGAAATACTTGTCATTTGTCACGCAAGGTCGTAAAACGTATTATCATCGTCAGAATCTGTATCAGGGTCACTGTCGTCGGAGATATCTGAATAATCAGCAACGTCCGACAGAGATTCTAAGAAGGTCGAGGAACCTTGCTGATGCTCTTGTGGATGCTTGCGAGCGTATGCTAAATACGAAATGATCGACGCACAATGAGCACAGCATTGATAGGGGTTTTAAAGATGCTTTGGATTATTTGCATTTTTTTGGGCTATCAAACGTACATGCCTGCTTTTCTGTCAAAAGGAACCAAACAATTTGACACTGCAACAGCTAACGAAACACGTATAGTTACGAAAATTAGATGGGTTGTTGAGAGTATAAACGGACGTATAAAACAGTGGCGTTTGTTTGACAAAACTCTACCTAATTCGCTTCTGAAAACCGTGGGAGATCTTTTTGCAATAGTTTGTGCTTATGGAGCTCCTTTTATTAAATCCATAACCAAAGACCTGAAGTTAACACAAAAAATGAACGAGTTACGAGATAGGACAAATTAACTGGGCAATTTTGTTGCAAAACTCAAAGAAAAATCAGAAAAACCTGTCGCAATGGAGCAACTAGATGCTTTTGGTGCTCTAAGTGATTTTCCCTTGCTCTTAATGAAGCAGTTGAATGATTTGACGTTAGGTGAGTTTCTCGAAAAAGAATTCCCTATGCGCCTAAAAAATATTATTTTTTTTGCAAGTATCTTTCAGCTGACACAGGCGAAATCATATACTATTGAGCGCCTTTCTGCAGATGGACAGTATGTTGTCAAAGTTTGGAAGCAAAGACCAGACTTAACCCATTGGCGACGGGAAGCCCATATATAGGCAAATGTAGCGACACTCCTATAACTCAAAAATCGTAACAGCTAGTGACTTCTAATTTTGTGTGGGCGTAGCGCTTACCGAATGCTGATCATCCGCCAAGTGTGGGTCTCTTTTACTAGATGGTTCGTGAGTATAAGTGATTTATTCTTTTCCGTAAAATAGCAATAGCTCCTCATCTAAGAAAGATGAAAACTTTTCTTTTTTACTGATATGTAGCTTTGACTCTACTCTATCTACGATATGAATTTTGTGAGTTGGGAGTTAGTAGTCAATGAAATACAGCTATTTTACGAGCGAGGTTCGCGGTTTTTTTGTTGAAAATTCGAGCTCTTTTGCGAAAAAAAATTCACAACTCAGTCTAGGAGCATCATTTTGATTTCAAATTCGCATCATAGTCTTTACAGTGTCCGTAGATTATCTAGTCAAAGTATGAAGGTTAACTATTGTGTGCTTCTGAAAATTCATTGAGAACGAGCACCCACGAGTGAAACATACGTAAAAGAGTGAGGATGGCGAACTAAGGGTCGCTCTTTATACTATAGAATCTGTATGCAATGTACATCATAATCATGGAAAAATAATCATAGAAATCTATGATTCCGAAAAGCGTATGGGAAACATTTATCAGAAAGATTACACATTTACCTCTGACTTTCGCCATTTCACTTATTTTGCGCCCTTTTCACTTCCATCATATTTTCAAGCAAAAGTAATAACATATTTGAGATCAGCAGACGAAGCTGGGTCTAACAGCATACTTAACATTCGGTTTTCGAACAAACAAAATTGTATAGATAATTTTCTCTCTAGTGGGAAGACCGGACGTATATATACGTCTCCCGTCGCCAAAGGGTTAAAAAACCTATAAAAGAGCTTTTTAAAACGACATCTTCATATGAAAAACTCTGAATTTAAAATCTTCTTTGTAGTTTTATTAAAAGACCTGCCTTTTGTCTTTTCGACAGTTATTGCACAGGTCACGCTCTAAAAAGAATGCGTTTTCGAATAAAACGGACAACAAAAATAAGACCGATACAAGAGTACGACGGAGACGCATATTAAGAAAGTTCCTTTTGTTTCCTTACTCGATGACCGGTTTCTTCGTCCACAACACGTTCTGCCGATAAATCAATTTTATTTGCAACAAGATAACGATGTTCTAAATCTAATCCCGCCTAAAATTAAATTTCTTTGACATGTTTTCATTTATAGTTTTACAAAAAAGACTATACTTTTTCAATACATTGATTCCAATAATCGATTATTTCAAACGTACTTCTATTCGTTACATCGTAAATTAATATAAGTGCTTTCGATGCGCCAAGATAGCCTCGACTCACTGAACGAAAACGTTCTTGGCCAGCAGTATCCCTAAATATAACAACAAGTTTTGTATTTTTGAGACGGAAATGGTGGATTCATACCATATTTGTAAATTAATCTTAGATTTTTCAACGGGAATTATTTTGTTAATGAAATCAATTCCTAAAATGTTTAAACATACTGTTAAATAAATATCGAGAACTAAAAATCTTTATACTTACCCACAGTAGACGATATATCTGTACGAAAATCTCTATTAGCTATAAATCGATTTAAAGACGTCTAAATATACGTTTTAAAACATATAAATCAGAATAAGGTTCCAGAAGGAGAACACACGTACTTTTCCTACTAGTGTATCACCTAATAAGAGCACTTTATATTGCACATCAAACGATGGCTGAACATTGGACATTCGTTTACTTTAAAAAAAGATGAAGAAAAAATTTGTAAAGAAAAACAAGATTAACGTTCTTAAACCACTTATTATTTAACCTAGTTCATGGCCATGACCTTCGTGTGTGTGTATGTTTTTGCATTTTACAAACAAAAAATGTTCAATTCTCTCTCCAAACGTGTTACATATTTAATTAGAGAATGTGTCATGGTCGTTTACCTGTTATCATTATGACTATTTACTTTTGTACGCATGATAAACAGATTACTAACAAAAGAAAAATAAACGGAACAGAATTCCTACGATGACTAAAAGATACTGAAAAACAAGATTTGGGCGCTTCTTATATTCAATCAGAACGAAGCTCATATGGTCCATGACAAGTTTCTATGCAATGCAGAGAGACTTCGGTCACATTTTATGCATATAAGTTAAAACTAAGTTTATATCTAAAGCCGAATGAAACATTGTTCAATCGAACCATTTGGAGCTTTTAATACATCGTAATCTATAGTGAATACAGTTTGTTTCATAACACCTGACATAGTAATGGGTTTTCTTACTTTAGAAAAGCAAACTGTTTCTATTAGTGCAGTTTTTTTTTTAAAAATATGCTTTTTTATGTATGATACGTATTCTCACATAGTGATGGATGTTTTTTATGTTGAAAACGAAGAAAACGAAATTGTGACTACAAAGAAACAATCTATCATACAGACAGCATGCATATTTGATGCCACTTGTTATAAAGAAGAAAAAATGATATTAAAAAAATGCTCTATCTATGTCTGTATGTACAAATAATATGGTATATCACCGTAAGCAAAGATATGTCCGAATAACATTCATTCTGTCTATTACACAATCGCGAACAACGTGTCTGACTAACAGTTTTTTAAAACATGAGTATATAGCTTTAGTCTCCGTTTCATATTTACATTTTTGTTACAAAAAATAGTTGAGTTGTGCGTTTAACACTTCGTTTTTATAGTCAGGTATTACCATGATGAAACAGTGGTGGCGGATCCAGGATTTTCTAGAGAATGATACCTTTTTAGAAAAAAAGAGGTCCTTCAAGATCCATCCAAGGACTGCAGCTTCTTCCGCCGCCCCCTAAATCCGCCATTATGCTCATGTGGGCTACAAAATTGTTACCTTGCATCAGCCAACTGTTAACATAGCTGAAAAGTAGTGATGCTTTCCTTCTCCCTCTAATACAAAAACAAATTATTTTAAACCTTGTAAAGAAGAAATTTTTATAATATAACTTATCAGAAGCTCTTTTATTAGTAAGAAATTTCGGATAACAGAAATAATGATACAATTTTAATTTAGTTTAATTTTACAACCGCTTATCAGTTACTAGAGACTAAAACAGTAACTGATAAGCGGTTGTAAAACTAAACTGAATTAAAATTGTATCAAGTCGAGTTTCAGATTTCATGAAGATAATGATATTCTTCACTAAAAGAATGAAAACTTAACATAGCACAGAGTTGCATGATTCATAGAAGATGGTAAAAAGTGTTTTAAAATTTCTTCTTCCAAAATTATCTCCAGATTCGTGATTTTGTTTAATGAAACGGTTTTCGTACATCAAACTCTGAAAAACGTGTAACTTACTTTTCACCCAATGGCGGCATGTTTTGTTCTGTTTTGATATTTTGTCTTAGAATCGATGCCAATCCGATGTGTACATAGACATTACATAAACGAAATAATGTGGATCATGTTCTTCATTTTCTAACTACAAATTGGATCCTATATACATTTTTCATTTTCGTTTAGATATCTCAATTACGTTTATCAAGGTGAATAAGACACGAAAAATGTCATTCAACAACATTTTTTCGGCATGCTTTTTTGATTTTTACAACCATGTTAAATCTTTTCTTCTTCTCTGTATACTCCTTTTCTTTGATTTTTGTGTATATGCACGGGCGTGTACTTGAAGTGATGCTGTTTCCCGTTCGTGTGTATTTTACATAGCCCAATATGTTTTCTTTCTCTTTTTTTTTTGTTGTTAAATGATGATGAATTTTCTTTTTTTGAAAGTTTACACTTCCATGTGGGCGGAGGATGAAGGTATTTTCTCATACGCTCAGGTGAAATAATAGTAGGATTAACAATCTCTCTCATATACAGTTGGAAGAAGAATGCTTTAAATTATTATTATGGTATAATTTCAAATCTTTTATATCAAATTCTTTAGTGAATGGGAAGGTCATCGTGACCAATATAACAGTCCTGGAAAAATATAAATTTGATTTGTTGCACAAAGAGTTGATTTCTTTTATCCTGCTCAACATAGAACTCTACCATTTTGAAGCTACGTACGATGGACTTCAATCACGTATTCTCGTCGAAAATTAGATGCAACTAACTAACTTACTTCTCTTTAAAAAACGTCCATAAATTGTTTTTCTATATATCATTTGTTATTTATACGTGCATATATATAAAGAGAAAGCGTTTTGTATATTTTTTATTGACTTTTTGATGATGGAAGTATAGCTCAATCATCATTCACTATTTTTTTTCATTGATAAGAACACGTATATTCCATGAATATTTTAATAAATATATATATATACATATTGTCTTATCAGACAAGTAGAAGTTCATGTCTTCACCTTTAAAATAGATGGACTTGCATAGTTCATATAGCGTGGGTTATTTATAAGAGAAAAAGTGGTTAAAAATTGTAGATATATGCTCAATTTCTACTACTTTACTGATAGAATCAGAGCCTGACTCCAAAGTACTGCCGATATCGATTGTCCATCAAAGATAGTAAAGATAAAAGAGGATTAGCATCTGAATTAAGAAAACTAAAATTTTACAAATTGTTAATGGATTATCATCTCTTAGTCTAAATACCTTAACGATAGGTGCTCCTTCCTTCACCAATATCAATTGATAGAATAATATTTTTGTCTTTCTTTATCATTCTATCATACCGTTGTTCAAACGACTGTATACATACGATTGTTTCAAATAAAGAGAGAGTGCGTGTGTTGTAATTAATCAGTTAAAAGTATTTATAGTGAATAAACAGAATATTTTTATTGAATAAGACCTTGTGAAGGTGAAAGATGTAGTAACGAGATCCAAATGTTACACTATATTCCATTAGATCAAATAATGATATGTTCTTTCTTTCTATTCTATTGATTTAAATGTGTGGATGATTAATTATTCATTATCAGTTCAACATATAATAAATAGATGTTAGTATATTATATTATGCTCAATTGTCTACACCCTTGGGTATGTTACGAAATCAAAACAGATCGTATACTTTTACATGTTTATTGACCTTCAGCTATTCTCATTATTTTGATAAAGTATATTAATACAACAAAAGGAAAAGAGATGATCAATAATAAAGTTCAGTTGACATTCGATAATTTTCAATACAAATAAGTAAATCATATCATCGAACACGAATGTCTGATTTCAAAAGGAGATGATTTTCTACAGAAACATCAAATATAAGTTAAAAATTCCAATGAAATAGATCGAAAACTCTTTTTCGACAATGATGTTACTCTTATTCAAGTTAAGACGAATGTCGACTAGTGAAGATTCAAAGTTATTGCATGCAACAGCATAAAAATATGTTTTTATGAAACCTAGTAATTTCATATTGTGATTCTCTAGGGAAAAGAATCTAAGACCCTCGGTGAACAATAGATGCTTTTATTTGTACATGCCCATGCCGATGAAAAAAGTCGTTTGAGAGGGGCGGCGGGTACTCGAAAATAGGCCCTCGAAATATGCTCTGGATGGATCGTCGCAGAGGGCTTGAGCCCCCGGAAAATGGCACTTCGGACCCTCGATATAAGCTTTCGCGGGGTATCGATTACAAGCCCTCGGATTTCAGACAGCTAGCGAGCCCTTGAGAAAAATTTCGAGCCGTCGGATAGAGATGTTCGGAACTTCCCAGCCCTCGTCATGCAAACGTGCGATGTTCGGGACTTCCAACCCCTCACTCTCTCGAGGGTGCGACGAGGGCTCGGAAATACCTCTCGAAAGCTTATATCGAGGATCCGAAATGCCATTTTCCGGGGGCTCAAGCCCTCTGCGACGATCCATCCAGAGCATATTTCCGAGCACTGGAAGTACCCCTCGAACAATTGATTGGGTGAATAGACGTATAAGAAAAAGAGAGAAAAAACTAGTATGGATAAACGTTACTATATCCTAAGAGTATAAAAAAATGCTAGGATATGGGTATTTTGACTTCCAAAACACAAAAATCTGACGAACAACTCTTGTATTTTCCAGAAGGTGTGATCTTCATCGTCTGTGTTCTTCAGAGACTAATTCTTCAGTTTTTTGGAAGTTTTTGAAAAACCTGTTTTCTGAAGAACAACACTTTTGTTTTTCAGAAAACTGAAGATTCTTGTTCTGTAAATCTTTGGAGAACGCATATATGATCTCTATACGGGACAAATGAAGATCATTTTTTTGTTTTCTGAAGAACACAGACTTTTGCCAGTGTAGAGAATTAAATTCTTTACAAAGTGTATTATTTGTTTGTAATATCAGACGTTCGAAAGAATTCTTTGTAGAACAAACGATTTTTTGCCAACGTGCTGCCTTTTGAAAAATTTTCGGGTGTCTTAATGCCATTTTTTAATTTTATTTTAGCCTTACATAGGTTAAAAAAAAATATTGAAAGAAATGTTGAAAAAGATCTGTAACACAGCGTTATAATAATAAAATGAACTTTGTCCTGAGAAGATTGATTTTTTGAAACATTCTTTTTATCAAAGCAAAGTCCAAAATATTCTCTGCAAATCGTATTTAATTGCCTTTTAAAAAGATTGTAGCAGTCGTAAAAAATGAGCCAGCGAGAGTTAAATAAAAGATCAACAACAAACGTTCCATAGTTGAATAAACTTAGGATAATAAGACTTTTTTGTCAATATGTACGGCAAAAGCAAAATCGTACGCACTGACAAAAAAATTAAGCTTCTAAATGCTTTATTTTCGGATAAAAGTACAAAATAGTGTCGCCTATACTTCTGCTTTGTTACCAACGCATTCCGATTTATTCGTATTACATTTATTTGATTTACTATCGTAATCAGCATTCGACATTATGATTATTCTAGAAAATAAGAAAATTGTTATGGAAAATACAGTTTACAACTTAAAATTAATAAAGTTTTAAATTCTTTCTTTTTTACAGAATCCCGAAAAACTAAAGATATTTTTTATTAGAAAATAAATTTATCGCGTTGTCTTATTGCGTGTTTCATAGACATATAACCAGGGTTGCCGCCTAAGGCGCTATACTCATGCTGAAAAGTCGGAAAAGCGTGTTGATTATGGCAACTCAGGTGACGACTCTGTTTAGAACTTCCCAAGACTGTACCCTTCTTTTTATTCTTTCAGTTTATATCACAGTGTTTCTTTTTGTTGACAGACTAAAGAATATAATTATACAAAGAGAAGAAAGTGCACAAACAATTATTTCATTTCAACGTAAAGAAAAAAAATGAAATTCATTGAGAGTTGCGGAAAAGTGCTTTTTCGTGTTCAGCATACTCAATAGCACCGAATATTTTCTATTTTTGATGTGAAATACTGCCAAAAGTTCAGGAAACTTTTTAAACAAAATGGAGAAAAAACATTTGCATGGGAAAATAATATTGGTTTAAAAACCTTTTCTAAACTTTTGGCAGGTATCCCTCATCAAAAATAGAAAATCTTCAGTGTTATCGAGTATACTGAATACGAAAAAGCACTTTTCCGCAACTGTAAATGAACTCCATTTTTCTGTCGATGATATGCAAATTTAAAGAGCTAACAGCAACAGATTTCGACTTGAAAATCTTTCCTTTCCATGTCACACCAGAAAGCTAGGATTCTAAAGCTTCCTTTCCCACCCTTTTCGTGAACAACCGACATAAGATGCTATTCCGAAAAATACTGACTAAGCCACCAACTATCAATGACAGAACTTCGTGCCGTTTCGTGATCTCTTTATTTATCCTGTACCCGAACGACACAGTGGGTATTCAGGCGGACATTTGAGAAAAAAATCGAAAGTGCGCTTTATCAAATACAAATAGTGTAGAACATACTTCATTAAAAGGCCTATCGAATGGTGTATAAAGATCAGTTTGAAATAATGTGCTTCTAGTAGAACGAACAGTCAGAAAAACACCATGGAATACAATACATCTATACAAAAAGTTGATTCTGTCATCAGTCGTGCACATTTAAACTATCTAAAGAACATATTTGGAATCACTACATCCTAGCTCATCTTCTCATACCAGAAGGTTACCATTTCACATCTTCTTTGCTTCAAAAATAATTAAACGGAACCTAAATTTCAATACGGTTGGAGCGTACCTCGGTGTAGTGTAAACGCTAATGATAGTTGAGGTAGTAGATAACTTCCAATTACATGTGAATGTTCATCAGGACCTACTCTATCTATATTGCATGCGATATGATGCGATGTGTTTTCTAAGTCGAGTTCCAGATTTTCTAAAATCCTTAAGAGATTTTTGATATTTCGATGTTTTTCTCATCTTAAAAACACTTTTTGCGCAAAATAAGGTGATATTTAGAATCAGCGTGAAAAACTGCATCGAATGAAGTATATTTTGAAAATTTTGTGCATCGATCTAGCATTTTTCAAAAATCTTATCTCTGAAAAACCTTAGCCTGCGGAATTTTCAATTAATTTTCAAAAATGCTTTAACAGCAGTCATTAGGCTCCTGAAATTTTGTTATATAGGCTGTCGTATGCTCCGGTCTCAGAAAAAGGCTCGGCAATCTTCAAAAACGGTGTGTAGGAGCATGATCTGAAACGGTGTGTAGGAGACAGGATCTCCACAAAACCTCTTCAGAACCCTTCTGAAACTGCGAAAACCACTTTTTTAGAAAGAGCGCATTTGAAACCTATACAGATAATTTTCTGAAGACTTCAATCGCTTTTAATACCAAATGTCCGCCTGCTCTAGCCAAAATTGCCCACTGTGAACGGTAGATAAAACCAATTTTGGTAAAGCTGCCATTACTAAACGAGAGATGACGCTACAGTACAATTGCATACGGTTCTGTATAGTGCTGCCTCGACTTGCGCATAAGATTGGTTAATTCTTAATTCTGAGACCGAAAGCTGTGACAGTGTGTGTGCCCATTTTCGTTCCAAAAAACCGAAATGACTATTGGAAGTTTTGTGGAACTGTCCACAGCAAAAAGATCAATGACAGTCTCAAAATACACTTGCACATTTGTGTTTGATATTTGCACAGTTTAATCATACAATCTGTGCACTCTGATGCGGCTAGATAACATGATAGTGAACGTGTGTATGTTTAAATTACACAAGTATCGAACGCACGATGTGCAGGTTCATTTTGAGACTGTCGTTGACTTTTCTATAGAACTATCAATAGCTGCTGAGACTCTTAAAAGTCACGTGCCTAAAAGATCGATAATCCAAATGTCTTTTGATATATTGCGATCCCTAGGCTACTTTTTGGTTGACTCAAATAGTTGATTATTATCAAAAGGAAAACATACTTAACGTGAAGAGTATGTCAACAAAAAAACGATTTTCTTTTAATCATATCTTACCACACTTTCTGGATATGTAACAACGACAAAACTAACACTAAGACTAATTCTTTAATTTATTCACGAAAAGTGAGAATGATCAAAGGTCATAATGATAATGACTCAAGCCAAATAACAACAAAAAGAATCTATAAACAGAGAAATTATAAAAACAGAAAATTAGTGTATGAAGAAAGATAAAAAAAAGAATAAAAACAAATAAACAAAACAACAAAAGAGTAGCAGCACTGTGTCATGTTTTATAACTCTAAACATGGCTAAGTTCTACTGTAAAAGATGCTGAGACAGTTATTTTGAATGACGATAAAGAAGATGAACGAATGACTGATTCCAAGTTTATTTCAGTCGGTCATTGTTGAATAAAAGAAAGAAGCAGAAATGGTTTATGTAGAGAAACCATTGAAAAGAGGTGAAATACGAACATATTTGGAATGATGACAACGTAACGAAGACTAATGAGGACGATCAACAGTATAGAAAATGGAAAGAGGACTAAGATGATAATAAACTTTGAAAAACTGTATCAGCCAAAAATGTTTACGGCGAAGTGACAGATTCGGAAGGGACAGCAGTAGTATCAACAGAACTTAGAATAAAGTTTTATCTTCTAGATTCTTCCATTTAGCCATGGAATTTGCTGAGCGTATGTTAAAGAAATATGGTTGGGAAGAAGGTACGTTGGTTCGGTTGTATGAACAGAGTAATAATATAGTAATGTTCTTTTCAAGGAAAAGGTCTCGGCAAAGATAATCAAGGAATGAAGGTAGCATTGAAACCTAACTTAAAATTCGATACAAGAGGAGTGAGTATATTCGTTTGAAGTGGGCCAACGTTTTTTTTTTGCGGAGCTTATTCGTCTTTAATCCAGTATTTAGGTTGGTAGTAATCAGAGTGATGATTATTCGTTCAAATGGTGGGAGCATACATATAATAATGCTGCTAAAAATATAGAAAATAAAAAAGTATGTTTTCTTTACTGTTTTTTGCTTTTTAAAACAAATCTTTAATTCGTAGACTCGTCTAAATGAAGAGGATGGTACAACTGAAACTGTCAAATTGCCAAAGAAAAGACGAAAAGACGATGTCACAGAAGAAAAAGATGTCATTGTTTACGCACGTTTTCGAAAGGTAAATTAAGTAACTTCCTCATTTAAAAAAGTAAACACATTTTATTATTATTGTAGAGTTCAATTTTAAATGGAACTCACGAAAAAAGTATACGAGAAGAAACTAACCTTAAACAAGAATTGAATAATCATAATGAAATCAAGTCAATCCCAACGTAAGTAGAAAATAGTTTTGTGTTATATATTGTAGAATGCTTGGTTTTATCTACGATCTTCTAGTGTTAGTGATGAAGATTTACACCGAATATGTGAAGGTCGAACAGCACATAAGTGAGAAAAGTAGTTTAGTTTTTTTCAGATATTTATTCGTACTAACTATCTAATATATCGGTCTGGTAATCTTGTTGTTTCTAAGACAATTCACTACGTATAGTCTTATATTTTGCTGCTTCATTGTCATCGTCTCTTTTTAAGGGGGGCTCGTCATGGAATTCATATGAATGGTAAACTGAAACGATTGGAAGATCAAGAAACATTATTGATTACAAGTGTCGCCATGAAAACCACAGTTGAAATAGCTTCAGATAAGCGAGAGAAAAAAAAGAAAAAAAAGAAACGCAAATCTGAAGAAGATGAAGAGTTATAGAAAAGTTATTATACAAATTTCGTTAATAAATACCAAAATAATCGATTTATTTTTTCTGCTTTAAAACTTGTTGTATCTGTATCGTATGAAGTGCGGACCTATGTAAACTATTAGCTCTGCAACTTTTACTGAAGAATTATATTTCTCTACTTAGGCACGATAATTTTGTTTAGTGAATTAGTCTTGATGTAATAAAAAGATGTGATATTTCTATTTTTCTTTTTTAGATTCTATTGTATACTAAATTCAATAATGGTATCGGGTGCGCACCGAGCATTTCTGTTTGGTATATCATTTAATCGTTTTTTTCGTACAAAAAAACTGAAAATAATTTTACCATATTTATTTGGAACAGCTACAGCACTCACATATACATATCATCGGCAGACATTTGTAACTCATGCATCTATGCTCGATTTTGGTGTGAATACCGATGCTAATGATATTTATGATTCAGCATTATTCATAGGTATGTATAGTTATTCTACTCGAACAGATACAATGTTAGAAGGTGTTGTCTCTTCTAATAGCTGATCCTGTAACAGACAAAACCTTATTACAAAAAAATTCTCAAAGTTATCAATCACGTATGGAAATATTCATTATGAAATTACAATATCATTTATGTCGTCAACTAGAAACATATGAAGATGGGGAGAAACATTTTCAAGTTGATCGATGGTTACGGCAAGAAGGTGGTGGTGGTATTTCATGTGTACTGCAAGATGGTGATGTATTTGAAAAAGCCGGTGTGAATATATCAGTCGTACATGGAAAATTGCCCGTACAAGCAATTGAACAAATGCGTTCTAGAGGACATCAATTTATTGCACGTGATTTACCACTGGATTTTTTTGCTGCTGGTATTAGTAGTGTGATACATCCACGAAATCCATATGTACCAACAGTCCATTTTAATTATAGATATTTTGAATTAATAGATATTGATGGTTCCGTGCATTGGTGGTATGGTGGGTACGTGAGAGTTTGACTGTTTTATCTCCTAATGTATTTTATACTTATTGTTATTTTTTTCTGAATTTTAGAGGTACAGATTTGACACCGTACTATTTAGACGAAAGCGATTGTAAACATTTTCATTTAACATTGAAAAAGACGTGTGATAAACATGATAAAACGTATTATAATAAATTTAAAAAATGGTGTGACGACTATTTTAATATTTCCTATCGTGATAATGAACGTCGTGGTGTTGGTGGAATTTTTTTTGATGATTTAAATGAACAAGGACAAGAAAAATGTTTTTCATTTCTGAAAGCATGTGGAAACAGTGTTATACCATCGTATTTGCCATTAGTGGAAAAAAATTATTTAAAATCATATTCATTAAATGAACGTGAATGGCAGTTGATACGTCGTGGACGATATGCCGAATTTAATCTTGTGTTGGATCGTGGAACGAAATTTGGACTACAAACCCCCGGTTCACGAATTGAGAGTATTCTCATGTCACTACCAGCTGTTGCCATGTGGAAATATCAATATCCAATTAAAGACGGTTCCGAAGAAAAAAAACTTGTTCAAATACTGAAAAATCCAAAAGAATGGGTATAGCGAATGAGTTATCATGTATTCCGATCTCTCTTTCAATGTTACTTGTTTGTTTCTTGTCTAGTCGTTGACCATACTTTTCTTATTTTTACGTACAATCTTTTTAACTGTATGCAAGAAGTTTGCTTTTTTATTTCGTAATTTTCATGCCTCGTAAGCAAAGAGGTATTTGTACAAAAAAAGGCATAGATTTGACTTCTTCGGAAGAATAAAGTGTTCAAAATTTTTGAGTTGTTTTTAAACTTATTGTTGTTGGGGTACATCTTTTATATTTGATTAAAATCTACATATGGAAGTGTATTCCAAAAAACGCCGTTTTCATCTACAACTTCAGATCTGAAAAGGCTTTTGTTCATTACATTTCTCGGAAGTGTATTCATCATGCTGATATATAAAGAAGTTGTCACTTATAAGATAGAGGGTCTCATCTTGTCATTTATCTAGCTAAACTTTTGGATTCAACATCTTATTCTATTGCTAATTCATTTACGGTTCTGGATATTTGGCATATTCCAATCAGCCTTCAAATTACATATATGTAACATTATTTTCATATATGGAGAAAAAAAGAAACGAACTATCTTATTTGGAGTTATAGTTGTTTTAATTAGGAGACATCACAGTAAGTGTGTTGTTTCATGATATCTCTCTTTTGAGCCAAAGAAATGACAGTTATTTTAGACTACTTTTGCCTATTTATATTTTCTGCAAATCTTTTTGAAACTGTGTCATCGATCAATGACGAGAATCCATCTGAACAATCATTGTCATAGACTATCGATTCTGTTAACGTTCAGAAAAAGACGCTGTGTTCTTACTCTAGAGGACCATTAATCGATACTGAAGCATTTAGTTCCGATAAATGAACAATAGCAGTTATCATCATCTTAATTTTTCTTAAACTTATGGGTATGAAAAATGCATTGGTCAATCAATGATTCTCAATGGTAATGCTGAATGAGAAACTTTATTTATGATGGCCAAATTATGAAACAATAAGATAAGATTCTGTTGATAAATTTTATAAAGCCTTTATAATGAACATGATGTTTGTTAGGGCAAGAGGCTCTTTAAATGATTGTCCAAAGCAAGACAACCAAAAGAATTCGCTTGTGAACTATTTTATTGTTTTAAAGACTCTCTCAGATTATCGCTATGATAAAAACTATTACATATTCAATATCACTTGGTTGATTTTAATAATTTCTTCTTTGTTTTAGACATAAACGTTACATTTAATACACTTGTATCCTAAAATTTGGCTCGAATCAATTGATATCCGCATAAAAAGATTTCAATATTTCTTATAGGTAATGCACAAAACAAACGTGAAAGAGACAAAGGAAAGCTGTAAAATTAAAAGCGTTCCAGTTTTGCTAACGACAGACAATACGATTAATACAACAATAATTTTCGAGCATAGGTATGGTAAATTTTCACAAATAGAGCGTGAAAGCGATTATCATAGAGATTAACCGAAATAACAATTTACTCACATGATGCTTCGACTGAAATTCTAACAGTAATCAGATGTTGTTGAAACAAATCCTTAGCAAACTTTGTTTTCACAGCCTCATCAGTATCGCCTATATTGGGTATTCTACATGAATCAGAAAAGTCCGTTAAGTGACTGTTTACGGACATCATGAAAAACGGCCAGTTAATGTCGCAAACACGCCGTCTATTGAACGTTAACCACTGGCTTAAAAACGATCGGTTAACGGAACAGACTCTCAAGACTCTCGATTTTTATTTCTATCATCGTTAACGAACTGTTTCTTGTCCGTTTTTGCACCGTTGACCGACGACAGAAATACAGTCAGTTAACGGCCGTCGTTTTTTGACTGTTTTGTCACAAAGTTATTCACTCTTTTGTTTCATCATTGCTACGACTACATGTAGATATATCACACTTTCTTTCAGCAAAAACTGGAATATTTTTCTTCGTCTGATATACAAGTCATTGAAACTTGTAGGAGGAAGCGACACGTATTCGTAGGCTCGCTACTAGAGATAGTACCAGACGCTTAAAAATGGTATCAAGAACCAAAAAAATAATTAAGAAATTGAAAACTGGTAAAAACAATATTTTTGGCCTGGTAATGGAAAGTAAATATTTTTCAATAAACGGACACTAAACAATGTGTTAACGGTGAAAAAACAGTCGCTAAAAAACACCGTAAATGGTTCGATTTTGCACCCTTATCCTCACCAAAATGGGAAAACGACCCAAGTTATACGGGGTGAAAACGGCCTAAAAATGGTACGTCAGCGTGACGTTTACGGAATATTAACCTGCCGTTAACGATACCATTTTTATTTGATCTCTTCGAATCAGAAATTAAAAAATATATTAATCCTTTTTCATGGTTTTGAGCACTTTATGGTTGATTGAATGTTCCTAGTTCTAGCTACTATCATGGAGTAACAAATATACAGCAACAGCGCAGAGACACTTTCTTGAAGCTACAACACAACAACAGATGTCTCAAACACAAGCCTTCAATATTCGAAGAAATTTCAAAGAGATAACGAGATGTACTGATCATTAGTGACCATTGTCGAAGCAAGCTGAACGTGTCAGACATCTGCACGCTTATATTATTTGCTTGGATCATGCCAATCGAAAGAAGAGAAAAACATTCATGCTTCAATAACCGTAGCTTTTAAAAATAACAAAAAATCTTATTGCGCGTTCTGTAAAACGTAAACAGGAAATGAAATCTCATGTCATCTAGTCCTTGTTTAAATCCAAAACTTTCATCCAGTGAATTTCACCGAAGAAATTCCCTTATATAGCAAATAATATCGACAGTTCACATACCATAAGTCAGTCAATAAGCTTTGAAATCTTTTCTTTCTAGTGTAAAATGGAAAGGAATGACCTTCAAGCCGAAATCAGTTGCTCTCAGCTCTTTAAACTTGTATATCGCAGACAGAAAAATGGGGTTCATTTAGAGTTGCAAAAGAGTGCTTTTTCGTATTCAGCACATTCGATAACATACTGCCGGTAAAAATTGGGATAAAAATCCCTCTATGCTAATAATGCGGAAAGCCATAGCTAAAGTAGAAATGATTCTCAGTTAAAAAAAAAGTAAAAATTTTCAAACTAATATTATTTTCCCATGCAAATGTTTTTTCTCCATTTTGTTTAAAAAATTTTCCTGAACCTTTGCCAGTATCCCTCGTCAAAAATAGAAAATCTTCAGTGTTATCGAGTGTGCTGAATACGGAAAAGCACTTTTCTACAACTCTAAATGAACTCCATTCAAATGAACTTCAAACCTGTCATCAAATCATTAGAGATGATTATCCAAAAGTTTGTTGCCTAGTCACTGTTATCCGTGCCCAATCTCGAGTCGGTTTATTTTTTATTTCTCTCTAGCTCTACAGTATAAACAAAACGAATTTCAAATTTGTCTTTTTTTTTAGATGGAAAAACAAAAGAAATCGGTCGAGTTAGAACAGCAAACTACACATCCGAGCGAAAAACAACCAAGTGTTAAAAAACTCGTTCGTACTGAACGATGGTACGTCGGAAGCCGATCTGTATTGTCTCACCATTTACTTATTATTCATTGTTTTATTCAATTAGGTATTTTGGTGGATTGTCAGGTGTGTTGGGTAAGTTATAACTCATTAAATCTTTCTTTATTACTTTATTTGTTTTATTGCTGTTTAGCTGCCTGTTGTACACATCCGCTGGACACACTCAAAGTTCAGTTGCAAACTCAGCAACGAGCAGAATACGGACTTGTGGGTATGATTTGATAGAAAACTTTATTGTGATTGTAAGTATTTAACTTGGAATCATTTCTACTTTAGGCATGGCTTTCCACGTTATTAGGACAGAGGGATTTTTGTCACTTTATAATGGACTAAGTGCATCTTGTCTTCGCCAAGCTACATATACGACAACGCGTTTTGCAATCTATGGGGCAGTTAAAACATTAAATCCAAATCCAAATCTTCCATTCTACCAAAAAGTATCGTTGGCTTTTACTGCTGGAGCTATTGGATCATTAGTCGGTAAATGGTCGCGAGCTTGATAAAGAGGAATCAATCTGAAGCAAGCAGCATGTTTTTTTAGGTGCTCCAGCTGATTTAATCAATGTTCGTATGCAAAACGATTGTAAATTACCAGAAGGCCAACGTCGAAATTATAAACATGCTATTGATGGTATATTTCGTGTTTGGCGCGAAGAAGGACCAAAAAAACTATTCAATGGTACCGTAAACGTACACAGTGATCGAACATAGATGTATAGTAAATGTTCTGCATTTTAGGAGCCAGCATGGCTATAGTGCGTGGAGCATTTGTGACAGTTGGTCAAGTGAGTTTGCTACGTAAAATCATCTTGTTCAACATTAAAAAAATAACAAAGGCTTCCCACTAGTATAATAGTATAGCTTCGAGTTATTTATGTTTTCTCTCCTCTCTTTTGAAGATTGCATTTTATGAACAAGTAAAACAGCTGATGTTGGCCAGTGGTTATTTTAAAGATAATCCAGTAACACATTTTGGGTAAATGATTCAAATTTCTCTTTAGTTATAAAGTCTAACTGTGATTTTATTTTTGTTTTCTAGTGCTAGTTTTACCGCTGGTGTGGCAGCTACACTACTAACCATGCCATTAGATGTGATGAAAACAAGATTAATGAATGCCAGACCGGGACAATATGCTTCATTGATGGATTGTTTTACCGATATTTTTAAACTTGGCATTGGAGGGTTTTTCAAAGGTTTTACGCCAGCATTTATTCGTCTTGGTAAGTTTAATGCTTGAATCAGAAATATTAATTACTTATTTCAAATAACATGATACACGAAGATTTAAAAACATCCATTATTACACATAAGAAAAAACATTTTGTAATAACTATAGCAAATAGCCTAACAATCTATATTGCAAACAACTTCATTTAGGTCTTTTTTTTATTTATTTATTTCAGGACCACATACAATATTGATGTTTATATTTCTCGAACAACTAAAACAAAATTTTGGGTATATGAAGGAAGAAAGAAAATGACATTATCAGTGAATAATTATTGCTCATGGGAATAATACTCTTGGATACTTTTCTCGTATACTAGTGATATTTATTGTTTCTTTTCTCGTATACTAGTGTTATTTATTGTTTAGAAGCAAACCAAAGTGTTTGCGACATTTTTCTTTTGCACATACTTCAGCATAGAAAATAATGAAGTCTTAATTATTTTTAAGCAGATGCACAGCGCAATTTTCTATGACAATTTTACTTTGAGGTTTTCGATGTATCACACTATAAGGGAAGATTCGCGTGATATTTCCATTTCACCAAAGAAATGGGAAGCCTGGAAATTAAAAGTTTATCATCAATTGAGATTCATAATTGAAGACTACATTATAAACACACTGACTTAATCGGTGCGAAAAAAGTCAACAAAAACAAATCAAGAACTGGGACAATTTATCAGTTTGGTAGAAAAAATGGCCGTTCTCACGTAAGTCTTCCCTTATCCACTGGAAACCTCAAAATACAATTGTTATACAAAATTAAACTATGCATCTTCTTAAAAATAATCAAGACTTCATTATTTTCTATGCTGAAGTATGTGCAAAGAAAACCGTTGCAAACATTATGGAATACCTAATACGCTTTGAAATAGTACTTTAATTATCGGCTGCTTTTTTTTTATTATTGTTGTTATTGTCTTTTCAGTCAGGGCTTGAAATCTTTAGTTATTGTTAATTTTTTGTTATTAAATGTTAGTTTTTTTAATTATTTAATTTTTTTAAATGCAACATGTTGCAGTTTTTTGTGATAAAGTAGTATTATATTTTTTTGCTAAATATTTTTTCTCGAAAATGAATAAAAGAATAAATTTTGCATGATTTTAATGTTGAATACAATTATATCTGCAGTTCTATTTATGTAATGAGTACAAGACACGTTTATTAACGCTAGGGGTCAGAACACAGAATTCTCCTATGTTTTTTCTTATAACATTCGATTTTTTTGTCTTTCTTAGATATCTAAATGTAATATTAGATAAATATTTCACTCATTAGACTTAACTTATGTGGTGATCAGACGGTACGTTATCACGAAGGACAATACTATAGAGATTTCGAAGACCAGTGTAAGGTGCCGCTAATTCAAAAATCAAGCAAAACTTTTTTCCCAATATTTATACATGTTTACATACAGCTCGTCGAGCTGAGTAAGAATATGTGCGTTTTGGTCTTTCAGATTGACTCTGTGAAGAAAAAATTTGAAAAAAATCAAAATTTTTAATTTTTAAAAGAACGCT